CCCGCCACAGCCCCCAGGTGGAAGAGTATTGGCTAAGGAGGATGATTATTCAGTGACGTGGGATTTTCTACTGAGGCATCTGTGTAAGGAACTCATGGTGCCAGCCATGTATATGATATTATGTATATACATATATGATATTATGCAATTATTGCTCATTTTCTTAGGTATAAAAATGGTAGATGCTCAGTAAATACTTGCCAATTTGTCTTTTCCCTGTTCCTATCAGACAGTTAATAAGAAGAGAGGGGAGAGGCTGGGAAAAAGAAATTGGCAATTGAAAAACATCCTGGGGGCGCCTGGGTGGCTCAGTCAGTTAAGTGTCCGACTTTGTCTCAGGTCATGATCTCAAGGTTGTGAGTTTGAGCCTCGCATCAGGCTCTGTGCTGACAGCTCAGAGCCCAGAGCCTGCTTCAGATTCTGTGTCTCCCTCTCTCTCTGCCCCTGCCCTGCTCGTGCTCTAAAATAAATAAACATTAAAAAAAAATTTAAAAACCAAAAAAAAAAGAAAAAAATCCTAACAGTTGAGTGCTATAATACTTCCCACCACATCAGCAGGTTTAGAAGGACTTCAGAGCTGTAGGAAACATGAGGGGAAAAGTGTGTTTGCATTATTTCATATTTTAAGGCTAAGAAGAATATAAACTATCCATTATTTCTGTGCTGTTGTAAAACAGTGGTGGCTGAGGGCAGACCCACAAGCTTGTGGGAGGTGATGAAGAGTCTCTGACTCATACATAGCTAGGAGCTTAATCAGAGTCAAAGCTGTCGGCTGACCTCAACCCACAGCACTCCTCTCCAGGGCTTGGAAGGTTTTATGAACAAACGGCACTTTACTTTACAAATAACTTCCATGAGTAGCTATTCATTTCAGTCTCCCAAAGCCCAGTGCAGTTTACGGCACCGGTCTGGTTGTTCTATTTTATAGCTGTGGAAACTAAGACAAAGGTTACTTGCTGACGGGTTTCTTGGCTAATACACACGAGGCCTAGACCCTGGGCCCTCCCAATGGAAGTCTTTCTTCTGAAGGATAGGGAATAACCCATAGAAACTTAAGCCAGGGAACAAGGAATGGCAAAATCTAAGTGCTAGCCACGCTACTAATGTGATTTCAGTGGCATTCCCATTTGCCCGTGAGGAAACAGAGCTTAGAAAATGTGCCCAAAGTCACCCAGTCTTGGGCCTATTCAAGCATAGTGCACTGCCGGAAGTCAAGGGCTTAGAAGCAGCCTTGAGGTTCAGGTTTTAAGTGTTGGGCTACTCCTCATGCACTAAGTTCCTCACCAAGCAAGGCCAAAACTCTGAGTCTTGCTTCTAGTCTGTTCCTTCGACACCTGGGTCCCTCTGCATCACCGAGGACTGACGCAAGGTGTCCAATATTTGTAGTTTCAAGATGCATCAGGCACTGTGCTGGGCTTGGTGGGCAAAGCAGACGTGAACCTGGCTTTGTGTGCTTACAGCCTAATGGAAGGAAAGGAAAGAGAGAAGGAAGGAAGGAGGGAGGGAAGGAAGAAGAGAAGGAAGGGGGGAAAGTAAAGAGAGGAAGAATGAAAAGAACAGAACAGAAAAGCGTCACAAAGATGAAGGTAAGGCCCCAGTGTGGTAAGTGTGGACAAGCAAAGGTGAGAGCTGATGACCAAGGGAAATGAGCTTCTAGGGCCTGAGAGGTCTCCATAAAGAAGTGATGGCTGAGCTGAGATCTGGAGGCAGAGCAGGGTTAACTAGATACTAGCAGGGTCAGGGAGGACAGGGATAGAGCTTTCCAGGCCAAAATCAAAGGCCCAGCAGAGGAAGAGCATGTTGGCTCGTTGAGAAAGCCCAGTTGTGTCCCTCAGCTGTTGCCCATGTCTTTGATCTCCCAAACACTGCACATGGCAGACAGATTCTCTCAGAGCTCAGATCTGAACATCTGCTTTCTCCCTCAATGTGGCCTAGGAGGACTTCTTAGCCTGGCTTTGCAGCTGGATTACCTATAAAGCCTTGAAAAATACAGACATCCAGGCTCCACTCTGACCTACTGAATCAGAATCTCTAGGGTCTGGGCCAGCAGCATTAGTGTCCTTGGGAACCTGTAAGAAATGCAGATTCTTACATACCCTGACATACCAAACCACAGACTCTGAAAGACTAGCCCAGCAACGTGTGTGTGTGTGTGTGTGTGTGTGTGTGTGTGTGTGTGTGTTTATTTTGAGAGGGGTGGGGGAAGAGCGAGCATGAGTGGGAGAGGGGCACAGAGAAAGGGAGAGAAAGATAGTTCCAAGCAGGCTCTGCACTGTCAGGACAGAGCCCGACATGGGGCTTGATCGCAAGAACCGTGAGAAATCATGACTTGAGCTGAAATCAAGAGTCAGACACTTAACCGTCTGAGCCACCCAGGTGCCCCAGCAACCTGTGCCATCCTGGAATTGAGATTCGGGTTAAAGTTTGAGAACCATTGCTTTAGAGGAAGAACCCAGGACAAAAGTTCCCTATGAGATGCCGATGTAACCTGTCCACTGACAGGGGTTTGAAAAGATCTGGTTCTGGATTACCGTGAAGCTCCTTTATGGGGTGACCGTGCCTTTTAGGATTGAGCTCACTTCTCTCTCTTGCCTTATTTCCTAGCCTATTCTCTGCCATTCCCCATGGTGACCTCTGCTTCCCGGTCATGCATAGCTCTTGGCAGCTTTCCAAATGGCACGAGCTATCCCTCTGTCCACTGCACAGGCTGCTTCCTCTGCCTGGAACTTCTATCTACCCCTTACCGGGCATCCCACCTGCTGTCTCCAACCCCCTGGTGTAGTTTTCTGACACTGAGATCTAAACCTCAGCTCACATGTGCCTCCTACAGGAAGGTTTCTGTGGTCTCCTAGCACAATGTAAGATAATGCTGTCTCTTCCCCTGTTATAACACTGTTCACTCTGAATTGAAATTACTCATCCCTCTGCTAGGCTGAATGCTGTGTCTGCCTGAGCCCTCCTCTCTCCCAGGGAAGAAACCTGGTCTTTGTGTTTGAAAGAGCACATGCTCCACAAATATCTGGGGAATGAATGCCAATAGTATTCACCAATGTGAATTTCAAGGGATGACAGAAAAAATGTTTAAGAAAATGCATCAATTCATATCTGCATAAGCCAGTATCAGTTCTTTCTTCAAACCCAGTGGAAAAGTGGCATGTGTCGTGGAGACAGCAAAGTATGGTAGAAAACATCCAATTTGGGGCGCCTGGGTGGCTCAGTTGGTTAAACATTTGACTTCGGCTCGGGTCATGATCTCACAGTTCGTGCTCTGCATTGGGCTCTGCATTGACAGCTCAGAGGCTGGAGCCCGCTTCACATTCTGTGTGTCTCTCTCTGCCCCTCCCCTGCTTGTGTGCTCTTTCTCAAAAAATAAACAAACATTAAAAAAATATTTAAAAGAATGAAAAATCAGAAATAAATCCATTTAGTTCATTATTAAAAAAAAAAGAAAACATCCAATTTTGGGAATTAGAAAACCCCAGTGTGGCATTGGGGGATATATTATTATTTTTTCGACTCTGTTTCTTTAGTTATAATTTAGAGATTATAATTTTTATGGCAATATCACAAGATTGTTGTGAAGATAAATGGAAGGATAGTTCTATTAATTTTACTATTGTGAGGTGAAAAGAGTTGCAAACCCAAGAGTGACAAAGACTGTATTGTTTATGTGGGATTATTCCAATCTCCTTGAAGAGTAACTGTCTTGTTTTGTTAATTTATGCAGTTTTTGTGGAAACGAGCTCTCAAAGATCGCTTTAAATATGTTCGAAGACCCATAGAAGATGATGAACAGGTGGTGAGAAATAAATGTAAATTTGGACACCGAAGAGGCCAGACCAAGAAATTTCTTCCTGATACAAACTCTGATGAGATTAAAATTGTCCGGATAAAAGTAAGATTGGATATTTAAATATTCTGTTTATTTGTTGACTGGTGATTAAGGATACTAAGTAACAGCATCTACGATCACTAAAACAAAATCAGATATTCTTTTTGAAAATTGGAGGTAGGGAAATCTGTTCTGTGTGACTAATAATATGAATGATAATATTTCCAAAAGAGGGCTTCTAAAAACAGTTTGAGCAGAGTGTGTTATTCATCATCTCATGTTTATTCTTTCGCAACCTTCGAAAAACCTGGAAACGCCCTTATGTTCTGGGTCTTTGAAACATTTCTCTTCCTCTCATCATAAAATATATCTTATGTTCCGGCTGTTCTTATGGTTACAGACGGTTTTAAAGACTCATCTCATGGGGTAGCCTCTATCCCCAAGGTTTCAGGGAGGAAGGTAGGCCACGTGCATGGATATAAACCCCATCTGGCTCTTCCCTTGCCCAGAGAGTCCCCTGTGCCAACCCTGCAGTGCCCCAGGCCTAAGGGCCAGGCAGCGCCTGTAGATCTATCCCTCAGCAGGGGGTTTTGCTGTAAGTAATGTGCATGCAGGTCCTAATTATTGAGATCCTATAAATATCCCTACCTCAGGGCCCCCAAATATGGTCAAGAACAAAAAATGGTCCCTGCTAATAAAGTGAATGAACTCCTTAAGGAAGGATGTCCAAACTACCAAGTATAGAAGAAGTCAAATCCCATGGTGGCCAATTGTGTTTCCACCCCAATCCAACATGAATATGTAATCCTTACTCTTCGCCACAGATGCATTGATGTTAGTGATTGTACTTGGTGTAAATATTCCATTTTCGTTCTTAGCTGGTATATTTATTTGATCGAACTAGAGTAGCCGATCTTGGTTGTCTCAGTTTTATTACTACTACCTGTAAGCTCCAGGGAGCAGGAATATTTTTAAACATGTTTTGCAAAACATTCATCCCCACATCATAAAAAAGAAAAAAAAATAGATGAAGGTGTGTACATTTTAAATATCTTATAATTTTCAGTAAGATTTCCAAGTCATAGGCCAGTTAAGATAATAAAACTTCTATGCCTGCTCTTCAACGAAAAGACAGGTGAAAGGTAAAGATTTAGTGGTGTAACTTTTTAGAAGTTTTGACTGCAATATTCCAGTTATAAACAATACTCATGATAGAGGCACCTGGGTGGCTCAGTCGGTTGAGCATCCGACTTCAGCTCAGGTCATGATCTCATGGTTCATGAGTTCAAGCCCCACATTGGGCTCACTGCTGTCAGCCTGTCAGCGCGGAGCCTGCTTTGGATCCTGTGCCCCCCTCTCTCTGCCCCTCCCTCGCTTGCACTTTCCCCACCAAAATAAATAATTATTTCTAAAAAAACAAATAAATAAATAATACTCATGATAACACAGAATTAGATTTATTTTAATTAGATTTAATTTTATCCTCTTAAAAATAAAAAGTCACTTTGTAAAGGGACATAATTATGTTACACATAGATTGGCTTTTTCACAAAATTTGATTTTCAGTATACGAAAAATAGAGCTCCTTTCGAAATAAATTAAAGGTCTGCAAATTCAGTTTTCCTTTTTGTTCTATGATGCACGGCCTACCAAAATTCAATGGAATGAATTAATGTTAAATCGGAAGATGAGCAATTGTCGCTAGCACTGGAACTCAAGGGCACATTCGGGGAGTCAGGGATCACACAAACCAAATGGCAGCTCCTCTCTTTTGTTGACACATCATCACTGAACCAATCTCTACACTTCTCTTTCAGTTCCCTCTCAACACTTCATGTGATGACACCCTTCGCGAATCTTCCCTTCTTTTCTCCTCCCCCAGGCCCCCAAGACAAGCCTGAATCCTCAGATGAATCCTGCTAAGATCCATGCAGGGGATTTTGCTACAACACACACACACACACACACACACACACACACACACACACACACCCAACACAGATGAATGTACCAGGGTCCGAGATGAGTTAAGTTACAACAGGATTTCGTTTTGACCTTCCTACCAGCCAGCTGGGGCAAAAAGAGATTCTAAAGTGGTCATTGTTCACACCTGAAGACACAGTGTTTTTTCTGACAAACATATCTAATCGGTCAAGATTTACTTTTCTCCTTCTTACAAATGGAGCCACAGATGACTGATTCTTTCTAAGACTGTAACATCCGTGTCTGTGACCTGCTGTTTTCTAAAGCCCAAACCTTTAAGGAATGGGAGAAATTTTACACTCGAATATTACAGAAACAGTGTGCTTCTGTATTTTTTACCCCGAACAGTGATTAAGCAAATGGAAAAACCCTAAGAAGAATGGAAAGAGGGGCGCCTGGGTGGTGCAGTCGGTTAAGCGTAGCGTCCGACTTCAGCCAGGTCACGATCTCGCGGTCCGTGAGTTCGAGCCCCGCGTCGGGCTCTGGGCTGATGGCTCAGAGCCTGGAGCCTGCTTCCGATTCTGTGTCTCCCTCTCTCTCTGCCCCTCCCCCGTTCATGCTCTGTCTCTCTCTGTCCCAAAAATAAATAAATGTTGGGAAAAAAAAAATTTAAAAAAAAAAAAAAGAAGAATGGAAAGATAAATCCACTGAATATACCACTTATCTCGTGGAATTTTATACTTCAGATAAATTGCCTAAATTACTTCCCATCTCCAGCTTGAACTTCTGATAGCTCCTTTTCAATATCTTTAAGATTTCTGAAAATTAAAGGCATTTGGATTAAGATACTTTGGTAACTTTCACATCTTTTAAACTCTCTTGCCCGGACATAATATTTCCATAATACAGAAAACAGTTATTTCCTGTGCGACAGAGCTGGAAAATGCTGATGGATGCAAGAAGTCAGGAGTCAGGCTATTTTCTCAAGGGCAGGGAAGTGGGTTTGGATGAAATAGAGGAAGGTTTTGGAAAGGAATAAAGGAGAGGAAGAGATTTTCATTTGCTTTGTTTCATTTCTGTTATTTCTCTTTTGATGGTTGGGAGAAATTTACAAAGAACTGAAGGTAGATGTCTCTGTGAAGGAAGGTGGTTTTCTTAACTTTGTCTCATGGGCTTCTGCAGATAACCCAGGCCACTGCTGAGTTTGTTTGGGTCTGAGTATTGGCCACAGACGTTTTATCCCTAACTTTCCTCCCATCCCAATCTCCCAGGCCAGTTTAGTGCTGCTTAAACTACACTATGAAACCCAGAGCATCCACAGTGTTAAAGTATCCACCCATGAGTCCTGAATATACCCAGGTTGCTCATATTCTGCTGCTAAGACTTATCACCACGTTGTATGGATGGCTGTACTTGTGAGAATCCCAGACTATGTTTTCAGACCAATCCTACAAAATATTGCACGTTTTGCAATGTTTAAAAATCTTTTCCCAACCCCATGACCTCATGTCGCGGCTGCTTGTATGGTCATGAAGCCAAACTCAACAGCTGTGTTATCGCTCTTACACATCTGACTTTTAATTTTAGGTCTAAGCAATTTGCAGCCCTGTGAATTGATAAATCTATTTCCTTTGCTTAATTGTCTTTGACTATACTTTGTCTTATGTTTATAAACAGAGGTATAATTAGATTCTCAAAATGGCAGACTTAACTGAGTAATTACATAAGTTGCTGACATCTTGTTTAAATGACGACGACACTGGCTTTAAAAGCTTACACGAATTGGGGCACCTGGGTGGCTCAGTCAGTTAGGCATCTGACTTTGGCTCGGATCATGGTCTCGCAGTTTGTGAGTTTGAGCCCCGCATCTGGCTCTTGTGCGGACAGCCTGGAGCCTGCTTTGGATTCTGTGTCTCCCTTTCTCTCTGCCCCTCCCCTGCTCGTGTTCTGTCTCTCAAAAATAAATAAATGTTTAAAAAATTTTTTTAAAGCTTACATGAATTGTATAGAGCTGTGTGGCAGGGTAGTGGAATTTTACCTTGTAGTATTTGGGTGTGTGTGAAAAATCTCAGGTGTAAATTAGAGTTGAGGGAGTCAAACTCAGTTCATGGTGTATCATGGTCATTGTCCTGTGTAAGCCTCGCTCTTGTTCTGTACATTTCTTTGTGTTCTCCTCCCTATCTGCTCTTCCCTCACTTCTGCCCTTGGGCCACCAGTCCAGAGCGTTCCGTATGCATCTTTTTATCTGTAAGTATTCCAGTTGGGTTTATATATATATATGACTTAATGTAAATGGTATTCTAGACTTCATTCTTGTTTCACTTTTTTCACTAATACTCTCTGAGACTCTTTCACATTAGTGTATTCTAGCCCATGATTGCAGTGATTATAACGTACTGCTTACCTCAAGCCCTGTTCCTCCCCCACCAGGAGCTGTGTGGTAGGGAACACCGTCATACATGTCTGCTTCTGGCCCTACCTGTGTGTTACTTCTCTGGGTTGTGTACCCCGAAGTGGAGCTGATGGGGTGGAGGGTGTGAATTTACTGCATTTGACCACTTCCTTGCCAGATGACTTTGTCTTGTTACCACAGCCATGCATCCCCTTGTATTCCTGCCAACCCCTGGCATTATTCAGCCTTCTAAACTTTGCCAAGTCTAAGAAGCATCAAGGGTAATCTCATTCTTGCCGTGATTTGCATTTCCCTGCAAAATTAATGAGTCTGAGCATCTCCCCACATGTTTGTTAGCCTTGTGAATTTCTTCTTTTAGAAAATTCTCTTTAGATCCATTGCCCATTTTTTACACGAGTTAGCATCTTTTTCTTGTTAACTTGTAGGAAGCAGTCTTTCCCGTGCCCTAAGCCACAAAGACGTTCTCCTGCTCTTTGGTCTATTAAATTTATTGTTTTCACTTTCATGTTCAGACCTTTAAGTCATCTGGAGTCCATCTTCTGTACACTATTAAGTAGGGATCGCCACATAATGAGCCGCTTTCTCAATACCAATTAAAAAACAATCCATCCTTTTCTTATCGGTTTATGGTGACACTTTTATTGTATATTAAGTTCCCAAATAGACATGGGTATGTTCTGGGCACTATCTCTTTATTCCATTAGTCTATCAGTCTGTTTTTAATGCC